GAGTGGTATTTAAATTTTGACACATTCATATGAGTAGAGTTGACGTTTTCACATATCCTTGCTTTCCCAAAAGTTGTTCCCATCCAGGGTGAACTGTAGTTTCGATCTCGCGGCAGATGTGAATTTTAAGGTAGGTCAGGCATTTTCTATATCCCATTCTGTGTTGGGGTTGTCGATGAAGCAAGGTTATATTAGCCATAATATTCGAAGGTATTACTTTGTCTGTTATAGAGCAAGTCAAAACTATAGTCCATCCCGAATGAGAACACTTTAGGGAAAGCAAGCCTATGCGAAAGTGAATGGAGACGTCAGCTCTACTCATATCATTGTGGGAAAATTTAACTACCAGTCCTTCATCACTTTAAACGAAATAGTGTGAATACATGTCATAGAACTGATTTACTGCTTATAAACGAGAAATATGCAGTGAGTTGAGAGGCGCTTGAAAGTAAAGTGTGTTTTTTACTGGATGAAGCCGAAGCTGTCGCCTAGGAAGGGACAATTAAATCCTGTTAGATCAAGTATTTTCTTCAAGGCATTGTTCGCAGAGCTGCCATCTGTCCAATACCGTCAGGACTAGCTTGTGAAATCAGTGAAAAAAAGAGAATGCTCTGAAATTGTGATTTTGATTTGAACGAAGCGAGCCTCAGTGGACCTTTCTATGAATCAGGTAACTCCGAGCTAAGGGTTTTTAGGCAAGTTTGTTAAACGAAAAAACTTTATCGTTTTGAACATGTCGGTGGCAGCAGAACAATGAAAAACTTTTCACGGATTCATCCGTGTTGAATGGCAGTGCATGGAGCACTGCTAGGCCCAAAGTAATTCGCTACTCCAAAGTAAACTTTGTTTGGCATTAAAAAATTTCCAACAGACTTTTTCCAACAAAGGTTCTGCAGAAAGGCACCAAACTATTGAAGGAGCATTCGAGGATCAATCTAACCTGACAGCTGCAGCGAAGTAACCAGTGTACTTCTGATCTTGCGAACAATGTGTTCGGGTATTCCTGGGGCTGCTAAACAAACATTATCAAGTCCACACTGACTGTGAATAGTATTTCAATAAAAATGGCCAATAATTGTACATTTCATCCAATGCACTGCTCTGAGAAAATGCGCAAGTTGGGGCAAATTGACTTTAAAATTGGATTTTTGGCAAAGATGAGTGCTTGAAAAAAGTCAGAGATTGAAAAATACCTTTGGAAGGATAAACACACAAAATCAGTATTCGGACTGAAATCACTGTGCCTTATCGGCTTTCGCAGCAGGTCTTTGCACTTATTTGAGCCGAAATAAGGTCTACTAAGTCCACTCTGGGCTACAGATGGATGATACCAAAGATGAGCTATAGTATGTAGAGTTTGTGCCCATGAGACCCATAGCTCATACACCCACATCATTTTCTCCCATTCTGCGTCCCTCCATCTGTCTAATGGCTCGTTTGCACTCCTGTAGCATTTCTTGTATGCACACTCGACTGTCAGTCTGTTTATGTGTCCGCCTACCTCTCCATAAACATGTATTCTGTCTTGTAAGCTTATTTTATTTATTTCTTTTCACTTTTTTCCACTCACCCTCTCTTTTCCCTCCGGTGCATGTAGACCTAATCCCCTCCCCAAACTGGCGCGTCAGCAACCTGCTCATGCACATTCGCCAGATAGAGGCATATTTTTTGCTCGTCTACATGTTTCCCCTCGTCGTGTCATCCATCCTACCTGTCGCCAACCCGATTCGAGTCACTGAGGCGTCGTTTGTTAATCCGATAAATGCCGTCAAGTTTGCCGGAGGAACGGAAAGAAACGAGAATTTACGGGATCAGGGCGACCGAGTGTACGAGATCAGGCGAAACTTGTCCTGCCGGCCCTCGAAGATGTCTGTTCTGTATGCGTGTCGGCAACGCGATGGACGCGTCCGAAACCACTAATTAATGCCGAACCTTCCGATGGTTAAGTAACATGTTGTTAACCGAGCAAGGCGTGAACCAGTTTGTCGGAGGCGACCGGCCGACTGAACCTGCCTGTCCCTCCATGGGCTTATTTATATGCCAATGATCGTTGATCCCGTGCTCAAACAATGCTCTCTACCGCCAGTTAGGGCGTGAAAGTCTTGCTAATTATCAAATTTGTCCATTGTTGCCTCCCTGGCGTCGGCGACAGAGAAGATGTCTCCGACAATATCCTCTTCGTCGGCCCAACCTCCGTTCGCATTGGCTGGACCCCCAAGGACGGGGGGGGGTTGGTTGGGAAGCCCAATGGCTGGTGGAGAGGATCGCTTCTCTTCTGTCAACCTGTGATTCGGGAGGCATTTACGACTCGTCTCTGTACATCATCCACGGGTCCGCTCGACGACCAGCTCTCTGAGATGAGTCTAGCCTCGAGGTAGTCAGCTCTCGAAGTTCCTTTCAGGTTGTCGTAACCGTGGGCAAGAAACAGGTCGACTTCAGGATTCCTCTGGAACATGACTCTATTCCACAGTATATGGTTGGAGCCAGATAAGATATTTTGGACGCGACCACAGATTGAAACCACCTGGAATTAGTTATTGTGGGTACTTTAAGACAATTTTACCACCAATAATTGAGGCTTTTCCAAAATATCGTGGGTGGACTTTACCTCCCA